CCCCAAAACCCCAAAACCCCAAAACCCCAAAACCCCTGCATTTAATAATTTAATTGAACAAGCGGATAAATATGAGTTCATATATGAAAAAAAGTAGTGAGCTTGAAGAGTTGAAAATGGAGCTCAACTCCCTCAAAATCGATGAGCAGAAGGAAGCAGTGAAACAAGTCATCGCAATGATGACTATTGGTAAGGATGTTAGTGTCCTCTTTCCACATGTAACTAAATGCATAATGAGTCCATCTATTGAGTTAAAGAAGCTGGTGTATTTGTATATCATTAATTATGCTAAGAGTAAGCCTGATCTTGCCTTGATGGCTGTGAGTGCATTTACAAAAGACGCACACGAGAAGAGCAATCCTTTGATTAGAGCATTAGCGGTACGAACTATGGGCTGCATAAGGATAGAATAAAAATCGCAACATACCTTTGAGAATCTTTAAAGGATTGTCTGGTAGATGATGATCCTTATGTAAAGAAGACAGCAGCTATTTCTGTAGCAAAGATCTACCATATTATGCCAGAACACACAAAAGAGTTCGGCTTTATAAAACTCCTGCAAGGATTACTTCAGGATGGAAATGCAATTGTGGTTGCGAATGCTGTAGCTGCTCTATTTGAAATTTCAAGAGTCGCAGGCAAGAACTATTTAAAAGCTAACAAAGAAACTATCGGAAAGTTACTAAATGCTTTGAACGATACAAATGAGTGGGGCCAAATATACATTCTAGAAAGTATTATCAACTACAATCCTAAGGAGCAGAAGGAAGCAGAGGAGATCATTGAGAGGATCATGCCCAGGCTCCAACATGCTAATCCTGCTGTTGTATTAGGCGCGACAAAGAATGTACTCCACTTTTTGAAATTCGTTAACCTCAAATCCAACAAGGATGTTATTCTGAAGAAGCTATCAGCACCACTGATTACCTTGCTCTCTGCAGAGCCTGAGATTCAATATATTGCGTTATGAAACATTCTTCTAATTCTCCAGCAAATTCCAAATGTGTTCGAGAAAAATGTCAAAATGTTCTTCTGTAGATTTTCAGATCCAATATATGTAAAGCTTGCTAAGCTTGATGTGATGGTTGGAGTGGCTGACAATACTAATGTAGACATCATCATCACCGAGCTTCACGAGTACTGCAATAACATAGACCAGGACTTTGTGAGAAGATCCATCAAAGCCATCGGCCAGGTGGTCGTCAAGGTTGATAGGGTGGCAAAAAAAGGAGTAGAAGCATTGAGAGAGCATATTAATCAAGAGCATGGCTCCGATTCTGCCCTTCAGGAAGCAGTTATTGTTGCAAGTAAAATATTGAGAAAATATCCCAAGAAATTTGAAAGTCTCGTGAAGGATATCGTAATGCAACAAGAAAGAATAGATGAGCCAGAAAGTAAATCAGCTTTCATTTGGATTTTGGGAGAGTACTCGAAGAAGATCGAAAATGCAGGGGAGAAGCTAGAAACATACATTGAGTCTTTCACTAATGAGAATATCAACGTCTGTTTGCAAATCCTCACCTCTTCAGTTAAGATGTTTATTAAGGATTCTGACGCTTATGAAGACATGGTCATGAACGTTCTCAAACTTGCATCTGAGGCCTCTGCAAACCCAGATCTAAGAGACAGAGGATATATCTATTGGAGGATGCTTTCCACAGATCCTACGCAGACAAAGGATGTCGTCCTTGCAAAGCGTCCCGAAGTTGAAGAAGACTTGACCAAACTTATGGATGATGAGACAAGGGAAATATTTTCTGATATCTTCATTTCAGACACAAAGCATTCAGCTCTGAGACCAGAGAGAACTGCTACCGCTGATGAACCAGACTCAGATGAGGAAGTAGAAGAAGAAGAGAAGCCTAAAAAGTCTAAGAAGAAGGATAAAAAGAGCAAGAAAAAGAAATCAAAAAAGGAGGATGAGAAAGAAGAAATTATTCTTCCAGAAGAAGTTGTAACAGAAGAAAAACCAAAAAATGATTTAGATGATATCTTCGGACTTGGATTAGAAGACGAACCTGTAACGACAGATGCTCAAGCAGCAGACCCTTTAGCAGGGATTCTAGGTGATACCAATGGATCAACTGGTACTGATCAAGCTGCATCCCCGTGGGATGATAATGGATTATTTGGTGGCTTCGGAGCAGCTGGAAGTGATGCTTCAATGTACGTAAAACCTGAGCATGTTGAAGTAGTCAGCTCATCAACACCAGGATCCCAAAATAAGACAACAGGTTTACAAATTAAAGGAAGGTTTTATAGAGAAGGAACATCAATAAAACTAGACCTTATTTTCTACAATTCAACAGCTGGAATAATTTCAGATTTTGACATAATGATCAATAAAAATCCATTTGGATTAAAGCCAGGGACAATTAGTGTAATTCCAATTTCTGCTGGCCAAACTTTTACAACAGTAGTTGAATGTTCTATTGACCAGAGCAATGCGGACATGAAGAATCCCCCTCAATTCCCATACTATGTTCAGACTGCTATCAAATGCTCGTTAGATATTTATTATTTCCAGGTGCCATGATTGCTTCACACTCTTTTGCAAGGTACAGCAGTGACTGTGACTCAAGCCCAATGACAACAGATGGCAAATAGTATCGCAGCAAAGCATTCTTTCTCAGTGAATAGTGCAAGATTTGCTGGATCTCCCTCAGATTTGAAGACAAGGCTGCAAACAAATTCCTTCTATCCTATTTATGATGAAGCAAACAGCCAGATATTTGCAACTTCCACCGTCAACAACATCCCTATCTTATTAAGGTGCACTCCTGAGGGAGAAGATATTCAGATTATTGTTTGAACGCCAGTGGGACCCCTATATCCCCTCATTGAAGAAGCTGTGAAAGAAGTTATTAGCAAATAATCAGAATTTGAATTCAAAATATTTTTTCTCAGAAGGGGTTTTGGGGTTTTGGGGTTTTGGGGTTTTGGGG